TCGAGGGTGGGCCCTTAACAAGGGCGGCCTATCTTTTTTTCTCTTTTCTTTTTTTTTTCTTTTCTATATTCCACCTCCCACTTCAGCTCGATTTGTATGTACGTAGCATGTTTGCGATCACGTAGTCCGATAATACCATCGAGGAGGTTAATAACGATTGAAATTCGAACGAGTAAAGAAAGAACAGAGAAAGAGATCCCGGAGGCTGTGTAATTACATTCTCGTAATCGCTTTTATGTACTCCATTATAGTTTTTTTTTTCCCTCCCATTTTACCTTTGTTACATACATATTTTTCTTCCCATTTATTTATTATATATTATTCTCTCTTTAATATATATATATATTATTATAAATAATAAATAATATAAATATAAAATATAAAAATAATAAAAACAATAAATATGTAAAATATACATATATATAAATAATAAATAATAAATTAATAAAAATAATATTATTCATAAAATATTATTAATATTCTATATATATATATTATTTATCTACAATCCTAACTCTTATTATTTATTCTTTTTTTATTAAGATTATCTAAGACGTTGTATTTAAACGAAAAACAAAAAAAAAACAAAAAATCAATATAGAAATTACACATGATAACGATGTATCATATATGATAAACAATCCTCATTAGACGGAACAAGAGAGTAACGTACTTTAATTACGATGTTAATCATCGAAACCAAACGGATTAGGAATTCGGTTTCCCCATGTAGAATTCCAATACCATGAGAAAGAAAGAAAGAGAAAAAGAAAGAGATAGAGATAGAGAGTGTGTTACGAACGGACACGGTAGTTTTCTTCGTAGGATGATACACACAAGTGACTAAGAAAGAAAGAAAGAAAGAAAGAAAGAAAAAGAAAAGAAAAGAAAAAAAAAAAGAAAAGGAAAGAGAATGTTCCTCGTTCCTTCGAAATTCGTGCCTGATTGCGGGCTCATCTGAAGCTTAACAGGTTTACCATGCCGGAGGGCTGATTCCTCGAAGAAAGGTGGAAGAAGTAGGAGGAGAAGAGACAGGGAGGGGTGCTGTACAAGGTGGAGGTGGAGGAGGGGCGGAGGGGGAGGGGAACGAAACGAGCATGGTTCGACGATCTCCAAAGCTGCGATTTTCCGGCCTTATGCATCCTTATTTGCATCCTTATATGCTTTCTTCTTATTATTATTCTTATTATTCTTCCTTCAGGATCAGGATCATCAACATCATCGAAACGACGACTTTCATTGTTTTTATTTTTCATTTTTATTTCTTTTCTTTTTATGGATTTTCTTTTTCTTTGTCACTTTGATGTAGGCTGGATGTTTTATATCTATATATACACGTATGCATAATATGCATGTGTGGGTATATAGGTATACACGTATATTTGAATAAGTCAAAAGTTCGTGCATTTTAAATTAATAAATAAATTGATACAATTATTTTTTTAGTATTAATTTATTAAATATTTCAATGTATATTAAATTATTATAAATATTTATAAAATAAAATGAAATATAATAAATTAAATTAAATTTTATGAAAAATTACTTTATCTCTTAAACAACACAATTAACTCACGAACTTTTAATTCACCCTAATAACAACGAGTATACACGTGTATCGAGGTAATTCATCCAAGGTTGTGAAGGTGGTTCGAAACTCTAATAGGAACGATGATATCAAAGATCGGTACGTCGTTTCTTTGTATATAGGAATCTTGTTGCTGTTACTATACTACTTCTGGTGTTCATGATCGCACTCGTACTCCTGATCGATGATAACGATTATGGTGATTCCTGTGATGTTGTTGTTGATATTGTTGTTGTTGTTGTTGTTGTTGTTGTTGTTGTTCAAGTTGTTTATAAATGAATGAAATCATTCCTCTCGTATATGAGAGAAAAAAAATGAGATTAAGTATTTTAATGTTGTGTGTGTTGTATACGTTTTAACTTCGATGTAGATCGTGTTACGATATCATTCCTGATACTTAGGTTACGATTATCGGCTTCCAACACCCCACCACACCCTACCCCACTCCGTTCATTCATGTCACATTATCTCTTCACTATTGTTTTATTTTTTTTATTTTTTTTTCTCTCTCTTTCTCTTTACATATATATTTTTTTTTTTCCGTTCAAACAATTACATCATTTGTTTGTTTTTTTTATAACTTTATATTTAAAGCGTTTATTTTGAAAGTGTGGGGGGAGGGGTGTTAAAGTCTATTTACAACAGTCAGTAAATAAATATTATTTTATTTAAGTTCGAGGTTATTAAAAATATAATTGATATAATCAAATTACATGTTGACGTATTAATAGAAATCCATTGATATAACTTGACATAATTGATTTATATTTTTGTAATTGACTAATATATACGTTAAACATTATTCATTTTTTCGAAGCAATGAAAACAAATCGCGACTGGCAGATATTTTTTTGTTTTTTTTTTCTTTAAAATAAACAATCTCTTTCTTCATTATTCCGAGTAGATAATTAATTCCTAATTTTTTTGTTCGGTATTCTCTCTGTTCCTAATTTTTTTCTTCCCCCCCCCCGCAGCCCTACAAAAAAATGGATTCACTCGAATTCACGAACGAGGTTGCTGATGGGGTGGGGGTAATCTCTTTGGGAAGAAAAAAGTAAAGAAATAAATCCGAAAAAAAAAGAAAGAAAAATAATGAAATTGATATCGGTCGAGACGGAACAAATCGCGATGAAACGGTACGATGAGTTCCCGTCGTCGGTCTTTCTGAATGAAAACGTTTTTGAAAACCTTTACGAATTTAGGCTAGCTCTTGGTGTGACAGCCCTTCAACGAAAAACAAAACCAAAAAAAATGTCGAAACGTTTCGTCGACCAACTTGTCTTACGGTTAAACGTCAAAATTCAACACTCCGATGGTTCGTTCGGTTTTAATCTTTCTTATATTTAAAAACAATTATATACGGTTGTTTGATTATGGGATTGGGCCCACCACGTCGTTTTTCGTAATTTATATATGTATAAAAAAAGAAACAAAAAAAATTAGAAAAATATAATAATAAATATTTCATTTCTTCTAAATCTTTCAATACTTTTTTGTATTAAAAAATTATTATATATTCTCTTCTCATCGAAATTTAAATAAATATCAAAATAATAATAATAATAATAATAATAATCATCATCATCATATTTTCCTTGTGGTACACACACATTTTTAACGATTCACTTTCGCCTTCATTTAAAAATCAAGAGAAAACGTGACTAAAATTATCGTTAAAAAAAAAAAAGAAGAAAAAAAACAAAAAAGGAAAAAGAGGAAGGAAAAAAATGAAAGTAGGTAGAGAAATAAAAATCACAAATGAACACAACGCGTATGAAAATTTCAAGTTAATTCGCGTGTAAACGAAGTACTTCCCGTTTTGGGAATATCAGCGATAACAAATTTAAATGCATAGGTACATACACATACACACACATATACACATATATATATATATATATGTAATACATTTGATGTCATTTGGACAATGTAAACGCCTTAATAATGAAACGTTTAATCGAGCTTGGTGTTCGCATAAGCTTCGCATAAGCTTCGCATAAGCTTGGTACGTTCCCGCACCGGTTTCCAACCAGTCTCCCCCTCAAGAATTCGTCTCGCGTCAATTTATTATTCACGAATGTTATATTATACGTATTCCCCGAGACGAATATTTTCCCTCGGTGTTGTACACACAGTGGCAGTTTAAAAGGAACAGTGCTTGGTCATGAATAAAACTCATTCCGAAAAGAGGATTTGTTGTACATACGTATGTGCATATATATATATATATATATATATATAAAAGTATGTATGCGTGAATACATTTTTGAGTATATACGTGCATACGTGCATGCGCATGAATTCCTGGGATGTGTATATACATACGTATGTGTATGCGTGGAGTGTGTACATAAGATTGAGTGCATGCATTATTAATTTGTTTTTTGGCGGTGAATGCACCAACCAACCAACCAACCCTTCCTTCTTTCCTTCGATTTCTCTTCTTTTTTTCTTGTTTATTTGTTGATTTTGTTTTGTGACTCTCTTCTTCTTGTAAAGTTCTTGTGTAAGTTAACGGGTGAATGTGTGTGTATATATGTATATGTGTGTAACTTCTTCCTACGCCCATATAAATTCGTTACTCTTATATGATATCTCTGAACGCGTGCTCGAACAAACGTACGACAGGTGTGGACGTCGTCTGTCTTATATTATACTTTGATCGATATCCAAATAATTTCCATTACTTAATATATATATATATATATATGTATTTATGTATGGATATATCGAGACCTTGCAATATTCTATTAAATGTATATATAAATGTGTGTGTTTATGTATGTAATAAATAAATTATTGTTGGCTCGATAAATTTATAAAATAATATCTTTCTCTACGGATTGTTTTATTATAATTGTATTTATATCGAAAATGTATATAAAACATGATTATTGTAATATTTTTCACTGACAATCCATTTTCTCACATAGTTTTAGCCAATTAAATGTTTAATTATTATTTTTAGAATTTCTTTTCTTTTTTCTTTTTTTAAATAAATATTTCGTCGACTTTGATAGATGTTGAATTAATAATTTTGTGAGTTAATAAAAATAATATAATTAATAAAGCCATTTTTTTTGCAATCGAAAATTAAATATTATTTGTAATAGATATTTACAATAAAAATTACGTACAATAATCGGGACTAATAATTATATAAGATTTAAAAAATAAATCTTCTTTTCCCCTCCCCTCACTCACCACCCGTAAACTTAACGATAAAATACAGTCGGGGATTTAAAGAAATTGTATTATATTTTTTTGTTTTTTTTTTTCCATGTCCGGGATAAATTTTATAAGAAAAAGAAGAAACAAATTGTTAAAAAAAAAAAAATTAAAACATTGTTTTAAATAATTCGGTCTTGCGGAAAAAGAGAAAAGAAAATAAAGCAAAAGAAAAGAAGCTTACCAATGACAGCACAGTTACGAACACCAACAGGAGGATCCTCGTCAATGTCGTTGGATGATGTTGACTCGGTGACAGGAGGCACCCGGTAGATAGCATGTTGCAATGAGGATGCCATTATTGAGTCTTTCTCGTTGTCGCGCCAATGCTCGGTAGGTTTAATGAAGTAACTTCCGCTGGAAGTTCTCATGTGGCCCGTCTGAAAATTCATACAAACACACAAATTTATTACATTTTACACGTACGACATAATTACTTGTTTCTTTTTTATTTTTTTTTTTTTAATTTTTACATATCACACATCGCACAATCCGAGTTCTCGTTTGTATTCAATTACATTCGTATTTGTATTATTCATTTATACGTGTGTAATATAAGTTTTATCTAATATTCTTATAAGACAGTTTGGATATGTTTATTTATTGTATATTTTTTTATGTAATATTATACGTGATATAATAAGTTCAAATCTAATTCTTATAGGACAATTTAAATATCTTTAATTATTGATTTGATTTTATATACGTATATTTTTATGTAATATTATATGTGATATAATAAGTTTAAATCTAATTTTTATAAGACAAAAATGTAGATATATATATTTACATATTGATTGATTGATTTATTTATTCTTAAATATGTTTATTTTATATAGAAAATTTTTTTGAATAGATTGCATTATAAGCATATATTATTAATTGTTTAAAATTGACAATAAAATAGTATACGATTTACAAATACTCTTTCGATTAACTCTACTGTATTATATTATTAATTTTATCAAATCTAATAATAAATATTTTGTTAAGAATAATTTTGGTTAAGAATGGTTTTGTTTTTTTGTTCGTTTTTCTTTGAAACTTTCTTCCTTCCCCCTCTCTCCTGCTATACGAAGGAAGAAAGAAAGAAAGAAAGAAAGAAAGAAAAAACATCGAAGAAATGAAATTATTTATATAACTATACATATTTAAGAGTAATATGACGTGTTATAGATTGGCATAAAGACAATAATATATCCTAAGTTTCTATGCGTAACATGGGACACACGCGTTAGGCTAGACAAGAAATACGCCCACGTAAATCCACCTACGCTTGCATTCCGTACTTGCCGAGAATAAAAAAGAAAGAAGGGGACAGCAGACATACATATAAGTCTCTATACATGCACACATACATACATACATATATATATATATATCGAGTGGAAGAGAATACTAGGATCGTTCTCACGACATTTCTGAATCCACCTTTCGTCTCGTCTCATGTCTCGTTAATGGAGACGAGGAAAGAATGGTGATAATGAGATCGAGAAAATCAGAAAATAGTGGAACAGAAAAATAAAAGAAGAAGAAGAAGAAGAAGAAGTAACAAGGTGGTTGGAGGAAAAATAATTAAACGGAAGAAAAGAAATAAATAATCAATGATAAAACGTATACCTACGTATTTAATTATACTGTGACACACGTGCAAAATTGAAAAGCATAAATAAATGACAGGTAATCCTCCTACAACACGATTCATATAATTGCTGTTCATATAATAAACACTGTACTTCTACATTGCACTGGATAACATGGATTTTTTTAATTAACGTATATTTCAAAATGAAATTACTTGAAAATAATTAACATATGAATGAATAAAGGGTCTCTTATAAATACGGTTTCATACGATACGATATTTTTTTGTAGGAACACATTTAACGTGTTACTTGGTGTTAAATTAAAAAAAAAAAAAATAAATAAAAATAGCCAATAGAAAATAATAGAGAATAAAAAGAAAAAATAATTAAATAAGTGAAAGAGAGAAAATAAGATACATATATTCGCACATTAAAATCAAGTTTAAATCATTCACAACAACAACAACAAAAAAACATTCGTAATCTTATCAATCATTTTTAAAAATTCAATTGAAGTATTATAACAGCAAATGATGATAAACGATACTTCGATCGTACAATCATTATAATTGAATACCATTAGCAATCTTGAATTTATTTAATAACGATGAGAATGAAATGATTGAAAGAAAGAAGGGATATACTTTATATATACATATACACACACACCCTCACATATATATATATATATACTTATTAAAAAGAAACGAAGTCTACCTAATTAATTATTGCTATTAATTATGTGATTCTTTTTTTCTTTGATCTTTTTCTTCCTTTCTTCTTCTTTCTTTCTTTCTTTCTTTCTTTCTTTCTTTCTTTCTTTCTCTTTCCTTCTTCCTGTGTACTTGTGATCGAAGGAAACCTGACTGGCTATATAATGATACACCAGTGCTCGTTATAGGAATTACGAGGAGGCCGAGTTAACAGGTACTAAGGGATATTTATCGATTATCAACGCCTCCTTAACGCCAACCATTCTATCCTATCTTCTTCATAGTAAGCAAATACGTAGATAGTTATATCTAAATATCTTCCTTAATTCTAAACAAAAAAACAATCACACTCATTGCTTTCCAAAAAAAAACAAAAATCTAACAGCTAATATCAATAAATTCAAAATGAAACTTATCAAAAGAAAACAAAAAAAAATAATTAAAAAATGTAATTAGCGATAGGACAAAATTTTTGAGAATTTTTTTGAGAATTTATTTGTAAAATTTAAAGAAAAAAAATAATATATGGGTGTAAATAAAAGTCTCTTACCCTTCTGCGAAGAAAATAAATAGAAAAATATAATAACGTTAAAAAAAATCTTTAACAATTTTTATCGATCACGATGACGAGAACGATTCGAAATTGGAATGATTTAAAAAAAAAAACAATAAAAATCATAAAACTATCTTGACAACGTAATTATCATTGGTCGTTTTCTTATTTCTCGTTGATTCGTAGGAACGATTTTATACTTGAATAAAAAAAAAAAAGAAGAAGAAAAAAGAAAAGGTTATAAAGATAATCAGAAAAGGGTTTGTAACTCGTAGAAAGTTCATCTCAAGTCCACGAACACTTATTCTTTATTTTCTCTCTCTCTCTTTCTCTTCCTTCTTCTTCTTCTTCTTCTTCTTCTTCTTCTTCTTCTAGCAGTTCTTTTTGCATTCTACACTTTGCATCCTGCATTCTGCCGTAGCACTTATCCCTTACGGTCGGCATCTAACACGATAGTAATGCAAAAGGATATTGCGGCTTTTTCGAAGGGCCAAAAGAATGAAAGAAAGAATGAAAGAAAGAGATGGGAAGATATAGAGAAAGATATATTTGATACTGCAAGAGAGAAGAATAAGAAGAAGAGTAGTAGTAGTCTCGCGAGGTGTATGTAGTCAATGCAAGTGGTTGCACCTGGTTATATTGCTTATGTTAGTGAACGAAGGACAAACTCGGGCCTTTCAGTTGTCGTTTTCCTGTTCTTCTATGTCTTGCTGATGTTCCTGAATCTTAGCTACTTCAGTTGATCCTACCTGATATTCCCCCTTCTATTTAAGGATTATGCATATAACCCTAAAATGGTTTTACAAAAGGACCCGCGATATTGATTGACTCGATACAAACAAAAATCTCATTGTTTGTTCATTTTTTCTTCTGTTTTATTTTTCTTTTTCTTTGTAATCTCGAACTCATTAGAATTCCGATTTATTTTTCCAACACCAAAAATTGTGATATTCGATCGTTGCTTGACCTTCATTAAATAAATGAGATAAGTGTCTTATCTTAATTTAAGCTCGCTTGGCTCGCGAGCCAAGTTAGGCTCGCTTGTATTACAATTTTATCATATTTTTGATGTTCAAGGTCGTTCGAAAATCACGTTACAAGTATGTTTAAATGTATTTTGTCACCCGAAACATAAAAAAAAACACACGACTTATAGGATACAAATATATCTACGAGATTGAAAAAAACCATAAAAAAAAAAAAAAAAGGAAAAAATGGACGACCAGAGAAAAATGTATTTTCCACGATAATAATACCTATATTGAAATCAATCCATAATATGTCTTATTGTTAAACATTTATCGTATCATTAAAAACGAAGAAAATATTTAGATGAACTCGTTCAATTGAGACACCTTGTATATTATATGTTTATATGAATATATATGTAATATGTCTTTCACGAATGCACGTCTGTTATGATGAACTCATGACTGCTTGCATTTGAAATATTCGAGTAGAATCACTGTAAGATAAAGCTATGAGTCCAAACATCGATTAACATAACGATCCCCGTACGATGTGTATGTATGTATGTATATGTGTATACGTTAGAAAACGAATTGCATAAATACAGTAAATACGTCCTGAGGCTACAAACGAACGAAAATAAACATTTTAATGCCGTTTTGCCAGAAATCGTTTTATCGATTTGAATTATTATTGGTTCGATTATCGAAATTAAATTTCAAAATGGCACCTTAGCTTTTCTAACCAAATTCTCATAAAATTGCATTGACATTTTTTTTTCTAACCTATTATATCTTCCCGTATTCGGACTTCGATGTATTTAAATATTTTTATTTTTACTTGTTTGTTTTTCTTTTTCAAAACCGATATTATCTCGAATTACGTTAACAATTGTCTGGCCAAAAAGAAGGAAAAACTTTTTCTAATCTCAAAAAAAGAAAAAGAAAAACAGAGAAACAGCAACGATTAGTAATAAATCCTTCGGTTAATAATTACACGAAGAAGAATATTATTTATTCCAATATAACGACACATAAATTAAAAATCGGTAAAAAAAAAAAAAGAAAGAAGAAAAATATTTCTAAAAAAAAAAAAACACGATAAAAACTCGTATTGATAACGTTCCTTCCACCCGTGTTACGTCACCCTTCTTTTTTCCTTATATAATTTCCCGAAAAAAAAAAACGTTAGGGAGGGAGGGAGGAAGAAAAGAGAAAAAAGGGATGAAGGAAGAATAGGGATAGCGGAGTAGGGTGGGGAAGGGGGGAGGGAGAAGGGCTGCGAGGAGCTCGTGTAAAACGTATCGGACTCGTCGAAAGGTCGATGAGATCTTCCTGCGGAGAACTTCGAGGTCGTTGGCAGCGTTTGCAATGGGGGGGAAAAAGAGAATAAGAGGTTCCAACAGAACAGAACAGAAAGAAAGAGAAAGAGTGGGTGGGGGGAGGGGGTTGGGGGATGAGAAAGATAGAAGGAGACAGAAGAAAAACGACGTTCTTACCAAGAGTTCTCGGTAACCCTGAAGTCCCTCTTTGTGCCCCATGTTTCTCTCTCTCTCTCTC